AGATAGATAGATAGATAGATAGATAGATAGATAGATAGATAGATAGATAGATAGATAGCTATAGATATATAAATTGAAAAGATAATGGTGGCAAGATCTGCCATAGGTCTTACTGGCCTCAAAGTCAATAAGACCTATGTTCCAGACCCACCTCTGATACATACTGTTATATGGTCCTGTGCCAATTACTTAACCTCTTAATATTCATAGCAACTTTTTATAAGATTATAATATGAAGAGATGGAGCTACCTTGGTAAAGAAAGATTTCTCATCCAGGAGTTCCTTGTAATAATTAAATAACACAATCATTCTTTATCCTGTCTACAAGCCAGATTTACTTAGTATTTTATGATTTACGAAGTGCTTTCCTCATAACCTTACTAGGCTGCTGGTACAAGTTTTAATATTCCCATTTTATGGATGAAAAACTAAGGCTCAGGGGCAGCTAGGTGGTGCAGTGGATAGAGCACTGGCCCTGGAGCCAGGAGGACCTGAGTTCAAATCTGGCCTCAGACACATAATACTTCCTAGCTGTGTGACTCTGGACAAGTCACTTAACCCCAATTGCCTCACTAAAAAAAAAAAACAAACAAAAACAACAACCAAAAAAAAACAATAAAAAAAAACTAAAGCTCAAATAAGTTCAACAAAAATTTATTCAGCATGAATTATTTACATAAGGCATTGTGCTAAGCTTTGATGATACAAAGATTAAAGTGGAATAGCCCATTCCCTCACGTTGCTTCCATTCTATCTTGGAGACAACATGGTCTGCGTCACTTAAATCTAATTCACATGCAAGTCAAGACGTCACTCTCATGATGTCATTCGTCCTCTTCTAGAATGAAGGATGAACAACAACAACAACAACAACAGTATACACATATAAATTTATACTAGCTGTATACAGAATAATTTGGGGGGGTAGTGGAGGGAAGTTCTAATAGGGGGGCATCAGGAACAATTGGTGAGCTTAGTTTTGCAGCAAACTAGTGATTCCAAGGGGGAAAGGTGAAGAGAAATATGGGGAACAACCCTGTGCCAAGGAAAAGTTTCTAGCTATGGAATAAAACACCTGACGAACTGTGGGAAGGTCAGATTGACTAACAGAGTTGTCCTCAGCTAGAAAGTAAATAACAGAACAAGGAATTGAATCCAGGTTTCGTTGGTTGTGCTATGTCTACCAGAAAATTTATTTATTCTGACCACCTAATAAAAGCATCTATTATTTCTTTGGTTAAGTATATATTTGCAAATGGTGGATTCAAATTTTAACTGTGCCTTCCTACCTTACTTTTCTGTACTTTTATGTAATATCAAAAGAATTTCAACTTCTTTTAAAGGATGGGACCATCTTTAAGGCACCACATTTTCATATTTTCAGGCTTTTGTGGTAATTCTTATCTAAGATTTTGTTAGCCTAGATAAGAATGTTAGCTTAGTGTCTTGGATTTCATTGCCTTAAAAAGATAGCAGGAGAGTGAGGATGTTTTGACCGAGCATCCTGGCCTCTTTAGGATTTGTGTGATGCAGATGCACAGAGATAATATAAATTAGAGCCAGAATACTCAGAGTATATGAGCAGAAATGAAGCTATGTGTGTG